AGGGTAACTTCATTTTTGTGATTGTTTCAGCTTTCTGGCTTTTCATTTTGCTTTTTTTAACAAAACTTAAAGCACCCTCTTAGCCAGTGACAGTAAGGTTTGCAAATCAGAACCAAATCTGAGCACAGCACTACACTTGAGTGAGCTGTGCTAATCTAAGACAAGTTTCTGTTTCCTGCTTGGAGCTTCTGCCCTGTGCTCTCGTTTGGCACATGTACGGTACTGTGTGCTGACAGACACCTTTGAGGCACAGATCAGTTAAAGAAGTGTGTGTGGTGGCAAATGCTCCAGGCTCGGTATTTCTTGTGCTTATTGGCTACCTACTCATGGTTAGGAAGTAGGTGTTTGGAGTCATGTAGGATGGAGAGGACTTCTACATAGAGTGGTGATGGGTCCTTTTTTTGTGTTCCTAAAAGTTTAATCTGCCAATGAAAGTATTCCCCATAAGAAGTCATAGAGTGCAAGCAGTGTGTGAGCATAATATTTTAGGTAGTGAATATGTTGAACTGATACAATCCTACGTAGCCCAGCTCTGCGGTTTTCATAAAAGCAGACCCTTGAAGACCCTGTGGTCTCATCTTCCATCAGCAGCTCAATGACTGACTTTCACTTTCCTTACAGTAAGAGAATTGATAGAGAAGAGAATTTACCATCAGTTTTATCTCTCTGCATTTTTCCAGACAGTTTGGCCTCAACAAATTGTACAGCCTCCCTCTTTGCTGCGTGGGAGAGTACAGACTGCTACTGGCGGCAAGGAGGAGAGATTAACATTCATCTGTTCTCGCTCTCTTTTCCATCCCGTGGGCATGGGAGACTTACGAATGTACCTTTCCTTCGGGGAGCGTTTCTACTCATTGCCCTGATGAGAAGACCGCAGAGACACTGATACAGTTGTGCAAGTTTCACATTGCTGATTAAATAGGCATATGAAAAAGTCAAGTGCAGTAGCTCTCTGGAAGGGGTCAGAGAGAAGATGGAAGGACTAGCATAAGCCTTAGGTCACTTGGTTGCTGAGAGATCTCATTTTCTGGAGTCCATGTACCTTGAGGGCTTAATGCAAAGTCTGCCTCCTCACTTGGGTCTTCTATGAAAACTGTGTTTTGCAAGAGTTCTGTTCCAAGCAGAGATATTTACTTGTTTGATTTTCACTCTGTGTTTTAATGTTGCATGTATAGCCAGGAAATTTGATGAGGAATATTTGAGGGGAACAAATGTTGGGGGGTTTTGTGGGCTTTTTTCTGGTGGTGTTTGTTTGTTTTGGTTTTTTTTTTAAAGAAAAGTATTTTCTGGTGGAAGTGTTTTCTGGCTAAAGTTGATGCTGTCCATGCATGTACAACCATAGCAGTGGTGATAACACTCAAACGCAAGATCAGGAGATTTACTTTCGCTTTGTGGCATTGGCAGGGACAGGAAAGATTTGCAAACAAATACTTTTGAACCATCCTGCCGCAAGGGGAGTTCTCAGCTGGCATCATCCTCTGGTATCCGTTTACCATCCATAGGAGTCAGGTATCACAGTGGGTGCACACTGTGGGGGGGTGATCCCTCTGCTCATTTCCTGCTCCATGAGCACCAGCCTCAGGCTGCCTGGGCAGAAACAGCAATTGCCTTGTTGTCCTGTGTCTCCTGCTGATACTACATTAAAGGGTCTCTCTCAAGTAAGAGCCAGGCATTCTTTCCCCACTGTTGCCCATCCTAACTAGGGAATGGTTGATAGTTAGCATTTAGTAATTTAGGACTGTGGAAGGTTTGTTCTCATTGAAATGCAATCAGGAGGTCTTGCTCCTCCTTCAGTTAGTAGTCCCTGCAGGACAGAGGGCTATAGGCCTCTTCCCGTGCTTTCCCACTGCCTAGTGGGATGTGATGAGCCAAGTGCCACCGCCATGCTGGCCTGGAGATGATGGAGCTGCTGGTGCGGGTGATGGTTTGCAAGAATCACAGAATCTGAGAAGTCTTACAAGAGTGCAATCAGCATCCTGCATGAGGTGGTGGAAGAGTACAAATGCAATGTATTTTGAAAAATACAGTGAGGATTTTACCTGGGATAGCATATGTATTCCATACATTGTCAGGGAATTTCTATAGAGTTTGTTTGAACTTTTAGAAGGATGTTGCTAACAGGCATCAAGTGTGGTGAGGTCAGTACAAGAGGAACAAAACCTTCCATTCAGATAAAAGCAGGGGAAGGGAAACACTGCCACGTGTGGGACTGGTTCAGGCTGAACTGGTCTGTGCAGTAATTTCCACAGCTCTTCAGAAACATACTATGGGGTTGGGCCTCCCAGCTCAGACAGGTCCACGTTCACGTTCCAGGCTTTGGGAAAGCAGGAACGTCACCATCTGTGTCCTACTTCATTTGAAAAAGAAAATTAAAAAAAAATCCTGAATGCCAGCCATCTGCTGGTATCACATCCAGATTTTATCCTCGTATCTGGGGGCAGAGGAGGAAGATGGTTTCTGTGGGGAGAAGTACTGTGCAGAGAGAAATGGCTGCCTGTACCTGGGGGTCCTGCTGGATCCAGAAACCAGCAGAAGAGCACGTGCAGGATGGCTTGGCATCTCAGTCCAGCTACGTTCTGTAGTACGAAACCAGTCTTGTACGAAACTAGCCAGTATGAAACGGCCTTGAGAGAGTGCATCTGAGTCCAATCCTGCCAGCAGAGTCCACAGCACTTGGTTTATGGATTATTAAGAGGAGATCTGAGCATTTCTGTGAAGTGGATGCAGGGTGATGGGTAGTTAAGAGCCACCATACTGATGTCTGACACAAAAAGATAAGTCAAGGCTTTTTTCTTGTGGCCTGGTCATTGAGCGTAATGTTGTTTTGGAAATAGATTAGGATATGTTTTTCTACAGACTGGCTATTAAAATAGGCCCACTATCTCGATGGGAACTAACACAGGCCCTCAGCTGGACACAGGAAATGAGCAGACTTGCTTTTTTTAAATTGTTTTTATCCCAGATCTCCTCCAGTAAATGCCTAGTGAGTTTTGATTTGCTTATGAAAGTGCTTTTTCTGAAGTAAATGTGTCATTTTTCTATGTTATATTTCTCTTTTCCTTTGTATTATAGAAGTTGAGTGCTGTTTCTGTCCCGATAAGTCTGTGTGAATGTGAACACAAGTAAGGCAGTAGAGAGTTAAAAAAAAAATCCATTAATTAAAATATTTACATTGGGAGCTGCAAAACATTTACTCTTTGAGTAAAACAAACTTCCCCATTGTTCTTGTATGATTGCTACAGTTGCTCTGAAAATAGCCAGGAAGGGGTTGTGCTCTGAGGAATTTTACTGGGTTAGCAGGGGAATAGCAGAGTAGGGATACTGAAGGGGGCTCTTGGTCAGTGGCTCTCCTTTGTTCAAATCTTTCTGTAACATAGACAAAATTTTGATCTCTTCTTCATAAGAAAAAAACAAAAAACAAATTAAAAACAAACAAAAAAACCCAAACCCCACGGTGGTGGAACTATGTTGTCATATTATTCTGGTAATGCCAAAAATTACTGATCGTCAGTAGAATCTGAGAAAATAGTATTTACAGGATGAAAGATTTATTTTTTTAGCACTTGAAGGGTATACTAGTGTACTCTTGAAGAAAGGGGGAAAAGGAAGCATCCCAGAGTAGGCCGTTTGGACCCTGGCTGGGGACCCATGGGGTGCCATCCCTGTTTTGCTGGTGGGGAGATGGCAGCACAGCGTGGTGAAGGCTGTCACCTTTCTGTGGCAGTGAGCACCTGTGGGTTCCTGCTGGGGTCTGTTGCCATTGCAGCTGTTCCATGTTCAAGGAAAACCAAGTGAGTATGCATCAGGTTTTGTACTTTAGGCCCAGGGATACTCTTCAGTAGCATCACTACAGGAAAAGTAAGCAGACATGAAAACTGTTTGCTTCAAATCCTTTCATTCCTGCCATATCTCCCCCAGATAACCTAGATTGAAGAATGCAGCATTGATTGTTTGGGTTTTTTAATTGTGTTCTCTGGTATGGTGTACCATTTTACTGTTTCACATTTCTGACCTTTTCCAGCCTGGCAGTGGACTAACAGGCCTTATGGGCAGGACACTGAAGAGGCTAAAAGGGTGTGTGTAGGGGTTGGTTGGTTATTACGTCCTTGATTCGCATTTCTCGCTCTTGGCAGACTCTTAGCGCTTTTCAGGATTGCCAGATGGGAGGTCTCTCTTCTTCCCTAGTGACTCACGACTGGCTGGATTGCGGGTCGTGTCATCTTTTCTTAATGGTACTATAGAGAAAAGTGTTTGTTCAAGCCCAAGTCTGTCATGACTGTAAATTTTATTGACAGTTCTAAGATTGCAAATTTGCTGGTTATGTGTGCGGTACTCTTTCCTCTGATCCCAAGTATGCCAGACTGCGTCATGTTTCCCTATAATATAAAAGCACCTTGATTGCTTTGAAAGGTTGGTTTGTAAAGGTGTTAAGAAATTAAATGTACTTGTTCGAGGTGGGTGTCATTTAAACTTGAGCATGAGAGCTTTGTTCCATCCATTTCTTGCATACTTTACTGTGTTTAAGAAAGGCTGTTTGCTGACAGTTTCTTGGCCTGGAGATAAAAGGTGCTGCTTACCCAGGTTTGATACTCCAATGGAAATTTGTCTCCATGATGTATAATAGTGCTGGGATTATTTCTAGCCATTACCATTGGTCTCATTTTACAACCATTCACATTATGTAATTTGATGCTCATTTAATTTCATGAGAGGATGCTGCAGACTTACTTACAACTCGGCAGGGCAACCTGTACACTTTGACCACCTCTGTTATCCTTGCCAAAGGAGGAAAAGCGTGTTTCTTACAGAACATGTCACAACATCTTTAATACCTTTATATCCAGGTTTCCCACATTGCTGCAGACGGGAGGGCAACTTGCCTGGAGTGTAGATCATACTGGAATGGTGGGAGAAGTTTGGGGTTTTTTTCTTGAACTGCTTGTTAGACTTTTGTTATAAGGTTATCAGGAGGTATTAATGGGCTTTTTCTTCTGTTGCAGATGGAATTTTATGACTCACTGTACTTTGAATAGGACAAGGAGATGTGTCTGATAAGGTAAGAGAGAGGGTAAGATAAACATGTTCCTATACAAAATCGTCTCACTGGTTTGATTTTGGGTTGAAGACAACCATTTCTTTCCCTTACAGAACCCTGCAAATAATTGAGATATTTATTTTTCAGTTACATCTGTCTCTGACCCTCCAAGCAGAGACCACCTCTCTTCTATACAGCTTCTGACCCAGTCTTTTCTCCTGGTGAACTGATGTACAAAGTCTAGAAAACAAAAACATATGCCTTTCAGTGCAGGGGTTAGCAAGAAAGGTTGTACTTATGCTGCTGGTTTAGAGCTCTTTTTTAAAGTAACAGATGAAGTAGAGAAGTTTTTGTTCAATTTTGAGATATTTCCTCCCCCCACCCCCTTATCCCAGATATTTGAAAGGTAAAAAGATCTTCAAGCTGTTTTAACTTCAACACTTTAAAACTTGTTTTTCGTGTTGTAGTATTTTCAAATTTGGAATGTTTTTATTAGGACAGAGTCTATATGAGTAGAAAACCTCTAGATTTGAGTTTGAAATTAGTATTTGTGGTCACTAGTGTGGTGAAGGAAGCTGCAAGTTTGGTGATTCTTTTTAAATTTATTTGTTTCTTTGTTTCTTATTAATAGCATTTTTAAAAGGCAGGGTTTATATAGATACTTTCTTTCCTTTCAGTTTCTGCTTCAGAGACTTCCACTAGTAGAGAGTAGATGTCTTCAAAACTCTTAGATGTTGGGATAACCATATTCAAGCAACAAACAGCCAAACACAGAAGTACATAGGGATTGTCACTGTCTTTCAGTGTACAATCCACACTGTAACTATCCAGCTCTGTCACTTGTGTGTTTCATTTCTGTATCCCCTTTCTTCCTGAGCTCTGTGCCATTTGCAGGCCTCAAAAATCCCTGTTCTTCTTTTTGGGTCTTGGTTTGAAAATGTAGTGGAAACAACTAAATGTGTCAATTGTATGAGGACCAGGACTAAAAGACTTCTTCCTTGGATTCAGAGATTTAGCTGTTGTAGATGCTCGAGGATTTTTGTTTTATGGGTTTTGGTTTTGTTTGGTTTTTTTCCCATTAAAGTTTTGTTTGCTAAGTAGAGTTAGCTTTTGGAAGGTGGCTGCCCAAGCAAGAACTCAGAACTTTGAATGACTCTTGGCATTGTGTGCAGTATGCAAGAATCAAAGGCTTGCTTGCTTCTTAGGTTTTTTTGCAAGTGTTATGCGTTTTGTCCATTTAAACTACCCCTCCTTCATGCCACTGTCAGGTCTTGTTATGAGTATTTTATATAAAGGCTTACTCTCTCCACTAAGGTGGTCTTGTATGTGTATAGTTGGTAAAATTCAGCTCTCCAGGTGAGAGGCCTTGCAGTCTGTTACACAAAGCACCTTCAATGCATACCTCATTTGTTATGTAAACGAGCTGCTTCACTTGCACGTGTTCCAACCGGTCCTCCTGTGCTCCAGGAATGGGTAATTACAGTTGCTTTCAGGACTTAGAGTATTTTCAGCCCGACCTGCACTGGCACCCCTCCGCACTCATGCAGGCTGTTCAGCTGCCGTCCCATTGCACGCCTGCCACCGGCACTGATGCGGCTGGAGGCTGAGGGATACCCACTGTGCCTTTGCCACTGGGGTGCTCTTGTCAAAAAGCAGCATGGCCAGAATGGGATAGGTAGATGTGCTTATGTTCAGGCTGATTTGTTCAGGTACAGTTGACCGAGGAGTGTGTTTGTCCGGTGTCAGTGCGACGGCAGGGACTTTGGTGTGTGCGTGGGATAACAATTTACTCATGCTCATTCAGCTGCTACTATTTTCTGAAGACGTTATCCTCGTGTATTTTGCGTGTATTATATAGTGTATGTTGTTCAGTACCGTTCTCCTCTGTGGAATGGATACTGATGAATCTGCGTTACACTGTTATACTGTCTTTCCCAGGGCAAGCTCACTCTTCCATTTCTTGTAAAACAAGCGCTGAGGAGGCTCTGTTTCTAGCAAGTTCTGCACCTTGAGACAGTGAGGCCTCTCACCACTGCTTTATTGCCTGCCCCAGGCACGTGCAAATTGTAAGCCAGATGCCAGCAATCGCAGAACTGGTTTTAAAATGAGATACTGTGAGGAAGAAGTAGCACTTCCAACTGGCTCTCATCTTTCACCTCTAGAAGAAAATATTCTGTCTACATTTTGTGTAATGCTTTCTCAGGATAAAATATAATCCTGAGCTGGGAATGTGTGTCTTGTTCTCCTTTCTCTGAGAGGGCTTTGTTTATCCTTTCCCCAGCAGTCTGGGCTGGGGAAATGCAGTTGTCTCATGCTTGTCCTCCTGTGTTACAAGAAGTGGCTGTCCTGGTCATGTTCCTTCTCAGGGCCACAGTTGTCAGGTGTCCCTCCTTCTTTCAGCTATCCCTAACTACTATGGATGGCATCAGTGTTACTTATTTATTCATTTTTTTTTTAACCTTCTACTTCCTTTCTGCGTTCTCTCACCCCATTTACGTTTAGGTTTTCATCCTTCCCAGCAGGCATCTGGATCCTGTCCCAAATGTGCCCTTGAATCCTGTCAGTATCTCTTGTCTGTGTTTTTCCTTGATTGCTTACATTTTTCATGGGTATTTCCTGACCCATTCCCTGCTGTTTTTTCTTGTGGAGGAGTCCTTCCAAAGCATTCCTGTGTTTCTTGCTGCCATTCCAATTAAAGGGATTGCTATGTTTTGGTCCCATTTAAAGCAGTGATAGGTGGTCCAGTCTCTAAAAAGAATTATCTTGGTTTAATCCTAGCCATGATGACTTCCTTGTAATGGCTGGCTTTTGGCATCCTTCCTATTCATTACATGATGAGGTAGAATAAAAATAATGAATAATAGCTCTTTTAATATGCCTGAAGCCTAGTGATGAAATTATGAGACTTGGCAAGCTTGCAGCGATGTTGATAGGTGCCAGACCTCTCACCCAATATTTTCTTTTCCTTCCCCCATGTTTCCCTATGCCTTTATCTTACTTCCTTCCAAGGAACTTAGAGACCTTGTGAACTGCAAGTCAGGTTTCACGTGAGGTCTGCCCGATAGCTTGGATCATAAATATAAAATTGTTTTGTAAGGCCTGATCCATTTTCAGAGGTATGTTTATGAGGTAAAAATTACTTTGATCGCTGAAACAGCATTGTGTCATTTTTGAAAGGAAATGACAAGGAAGTAACTGTTATCAGGCCTATTTTCACCCACCGTTAGCTTAGACCTGACAAATTGCAGCTCCAAGGTCTTGTGCCTTAACAGTTCCAAATTAGATGCCAATTAATATTGATTATCTGAAAAGCAAGAGGTTGATTTATGTTCTGTTATTAATAGCTGTTAATGCACTTTATAATACCAATCTGTTTTGCAGACATTTTCTGGTTGTTCTTTTTTAACGAGTCTTGGCAGTGAAAACCCTTTTTTTACACATGCAGAACCACAGTAACTTGTTGAAGTGTTTATGTGGGGGGTTTTAGTTGTTTTTTTAGAGGGGTTGGTGTTTTTTTTTTCAGTTTGGGTGTGTTTGTGTTCTTGTTTACTGTAACACTCAATTTTGATGATACCAAATAGAGGCAAAGTCCAGTAATTATTTCTGTCTAAACTGGCACGTTGTGGTTTCTTCTTGTGTTAGCGTGCATCAGAGCAAAACTCTTGCATCACTGCTAGATGAGTTTTAATAACTTCCTTTGACATTGCCTATGAGTATTTTTGTCTCCACAGAAGCCATCTTAGGAAAACTTTCAAAATGAGAAAGACAATTTGAGTAAAACAGTAAGAGGTAATTTGAGTTCCTTTTCTTGTGTTATTTAGCTGTTATGTTGCAATATGTGGAAAGTACCTGGAAAGCACAGGAAGAAAAATGGGAAATATCTCATGCATAAGGAAAAGCCTCTAACAGTGTGTGGGGGTAGGCTATATACATAAATGTAGACATCAAGGTAAATGCTTTTTCCTTTTTTTTACTTCCAGAAAATTTGAATATTTGCACAATCTGATGTTACAAGTTGTAAATACTTAACACTTCTAAAAGAATAAATTACTTCAGTGCCTGAATGTGTAGATAACTGTCAGCTTCAAAGGATCAAGTGAGTTGGAAGGAATGTCTGGAGAACTTGGTATAGGCAGGTATCAGGCAGAATATAGAAAGCAGGGGAATATATTCAGCTAATGTAACAGAGTCCTAGATGTAAGTTTGTGTATAAATTAAGACTAATTAAGTTACAAAAAGCAAATTTCTGTGGTTCTGCTTTTAGTGTAGAAGTGGAATACTCACTTCCCTCTCCCCATCTCTGTCATGCTGGGTTTCCCAATCTACTTGTTGTAAGAATTGTTCTGCTTCTGTAAAAATTGAGATGGAAAATTAACCTATTTAATACTTTTCAGACTACCCTTAGAAGGAAGGCTACCTTTGGCTTTAGAATATCCTTGTTGTGAACTGGCTAGGAGAAACTGAAATCAGTACTGTAAAATGCACATTATCTATAGGGTTGAGACTGAAAGAGCCATTTCAGCTTCTTCTGGAGAAGTGAACTGATCTGAAGTTTCCCTTGAGTACATAAAGGACAAAGATAAGTGTAGTTTAGGTTTGCAGTCTCTGGGTTGCCTGTTGCCTGTCTTGCACTGCACCCAAGTGTTCTGGGCTTCAGCTTCAGGTACACAGGCACAAGGGGATTGTCAGGGCTGACCCTGGGGGTTTGCAGCTGCCCCTGTGGAGTGAGTGCCCACCAGAGCAGGTCTGTGGGGTGATGTGAGCATCACTGCTGCTGCTCATCACTGAGCCCACCACCACGATCCCCTCGTCCTTCTCTGATGTTAGTGGTGTGACTGGAGCTCCTAGACATGGTGTGGGGAGCAGGTGACCCTCTCCCTGGTGAGCACACGGTACCAGCTCTGCGGCTGTGGACCGGCTGCCAATTTCAGTGCTTGAAAATAGCGCTGGCAGCCAAGAAACTTCCAACTGCAGCTCTGTTAATGACTGGTGTTGTGGTTTTGGGCAACTCCCTTGGTTGT